GACATAAAAAATAGTAATAGAATTGACGAGTTTAAACATAAATATAAAGGTATGTGTCAATCAAGATATATGCAAGAACAGGCTTAATGATTAATTAGATGGAACATTGTGGGTGTGGTGTATGAATGTTAACACTTTGTAATAATTCTTTAGTATATTACTTGTGTGGTGTAGAAGATAATTATCTATGTAGAGATACTGCTTGCAAACCAATGATGGTAAGATGATGTCATGGGGTAGGACTGGATAAGTCTGACTTCTTCCTACTCCATTCAAGCATGTACTAGGTATAAGCAAATTGATATTGGATTAGCATTTGTTGGATATGTGTAAAATTATGTGTGTAGACATATCAACTGTCTTTACATGCTTGAAAGAATAAATAAATAAAATAAATAAATAAAGCAGCCCTGCGATGGATTGGCGACCTGTCCAGGGTGTACCCCGCCTTCACCCGATTGGCCGGGATTGGCTCCGCCCCCCCCCAGTGACCCCCTTCAGGGACTAAGCGGTAGAAAATGAATGAATGAATAAATAAAGCCAACTGTGTACATACACAACAAGCAACTAGGGGGCGAAGACAGGAACAGAGGACTTACCTTCACACACATCTTCAGTGGAAACTTGTGCTTGCTGCTTGCCTTCCTCTTTCTTTTCTGGGCTTTCCAAGCAGCTTGTAAGTGTTCAGGGTTTACTCCTGTCTGTAAAGACATCAACAACAGTGGCAGACAGGTCAGAGGAAAGAATCACTGAAAGGACACTGTATCCTGCCAAATTTCAGTCTAGTCAAAACATGTATTTCTGTCTTTGTTTTAATAAGTTGTTGCACTTTTAAAAATGTGAATTTTTAAAAAAGAGATGTATCACAATCCAGACTGTTTTTAAACTTTAGCTCCTTGCTACTGGTTGCTGAAATCTTTTTCACAGTTGTGAAATGCTTGGCACCATAAATCTGACTGATTTCTTAATCCTGGATGAAGTTATCTTGAATACCTGTATGCTTTTATTTTGAATTAAAGGAACTATAGGTACAGCTGAACCCATGATCAGTATTCATACTGCTGGCTGACTGCTGAGCATGTGATTGCAATTCTTTTGAAGTAATGCAGATAGACCATGAGTAAACAAGCACCCTGAGGTAATCATATGACAAAATAGTGTTTGTTAGGCAGTTTCATTTAAAGTGTCAAAGGCATGCTAATTTCTAGCCACTTAATGTTTAATCTTGGGTACCTCAAGATTTGCTTTGTTAGAAAAAGGTGTCGAGCAAGAGTTAGCGAGACTTGTATAAACCGAATTGCTTCTGCATAGAAGTACTAGAACATATGTTCACCTCATTTTTTGAGCTCTAGGTCACATTTAAGATAATTCACCATTGTAACACTGTAGATAAGTCAAAAAACAAGAAAAAACATGCCATGGGCTCTTTAAATACCATGTTTTCTGGTTTCATTGGTCCTTTAACAGTCTGAAAAGTTTTCAAAACAAATAAGTGCAGTCCAATGATTACGAGCCTCAAGGTTTAATTCAATCCAATGCAAGACAAAAGGAAAAAAACAAAAATTGTAGCCTACTCAAAACTGACTTAAAACCAGTTAAACTCATCTGATAAAAGGTGATTTTAATCATCATCTCTGGAGTAACTTTTAGATTTAACTTTATTGGGGTGGCTCAGGGAGTAGAGCAGGTCATCTTCTAACAAAAAGGCTGGTGGTTCAAATCCCGGCTTCTCTAGTCAAAGTGTCCTTGGGTAAGACATTGAAGCCCAGGTTGTTCCTGGTGGCTATGCGAGCGTGTGAACACTAAACACTTTAAGTGTGCTTCATTGCATAGAAAAAGCACTATCTCATTTAAGACCATTCTCCAAAATGCACTCACACAGTGAGGATAGAATTACCTTCTTCTTGAGGGCCTTCACGTAAAGGTCACTGTTGGCAAAGTAGATTGAAGAGTTGGAGCGGAAAATCTTAATCCCCTCATATTCAACAGCCTGGGAACAAAACACAAATCACAAATGTTCAGAGCTCAGACTAACAGACCTGGTGGAGAGTTTTTATCCTGGGATTAGGCTGAAAGCATTATTTCTTTTCAGGGACTCACTTCTTCATACTCATCCACATCACAGTACAGCCCTGTCCCAGGAACATGGCCCAGGATGGCGGATGTGGGACTGAAAGAAAGTGAGGTCAGAAGTGATCACACTGTTCCTCAATCAAATACTTTTTATAAATACACTAAAATATTCTGCTAACATGTTCACAAGCCTGTTCATACTAATTTATTTACATGCTATGATATCATATATACAGTAAACACACATCTACTATTATCAGTACCTCTGTGTTCTGTAGATGACTGTGAGTATTGCAAATGTGATGGCCACCAGGAGGCCGTAATCCAGACCCAAAAGAACAGAAGCTACACAGGCTACCAGCCAGATGGACTGAGAGAGAAAAGGGAAGAAAAACAAATAAAACCAATATGAAGTATTACAGCACAGGTTGAATACCAACAGCTATACCCTGCTTTCTTCCTGAGAACAAGAAAAAAAAAACCATCACAAACTGATATGTGATAGAAGCTCAAGGTGTTTCATTTGCCTTCAGTAAAGTAAAAAGAAATTATTATACACTGACGTTCACAAATGATACATTAAGCACCTTAAATACCCAAATTTGACACTGTCAGATTTTCTTTTTTGTTGAATTGTGTACATCAGCTTAGAAAAAAAAGAAGGAAAGAGAAAGGCAATCTGCAATGGCATCTTACCTTTCCAAGGTGGCTGAACCCTGATTAGACTGACCTTTACAGTCCAGACTCCTCTAGAAATTGATCTTGCCTCACAAGCAAACACTGTTTCATGTACTGTACACACACACACATAAATCACTCAAGCACAACAGCATGTTGGCAGAGTGAGGTTTAAGGTGTATCTTTACAAAACAGGAAAGAGCAGTGTATCCTGCTTTAGAAGTACAGTAAAAGTCTGTGTTCTACCATTTCTGTCACTTGGCCAAAATATGCTTTACTTAAATTAGCAGGCAATCTCTAACATGTTGAAGCCACATACAAGTGAATAAGTTGTTGTATTCTGACGCTGTAACTAAAAGCACAGCATGTATTTTCTCATGGTAACAGATTATTTTGAGAGAAGAAACTCAGCAGTGGACTAAAAAGTCCAGAACATGATCAAGATCGGCTGATTTTCCAACTTCAGCTTTTCGGGGGTTGCTGCCTGAGGGACTCTATTGCACAGTGTTTCATTTGACAGACTCACCAGTTCAATCTTACTGGTCTTCCACAGAGTAGGAATGTCTCTGAACTGTTTGAACATTCCCAACAGATTAACCATGATGATGGCAGCCAGCACAGTCTGAGAAATACAAATACAAATACAACAAAACAATACAGAAATACATTTAAAAAGACTGGCAGTCTTTAATAAATAAAGCATGTAGCTTGATTTCCATATCAGTGGAGCTGTCAGCCACTATTTGTTCAACAGACTTCTAAGAAAATAAAAATGTCTGCTGCTCCACCCGTGAGATGCCAGACGCGAAGCTGGAACGTTATCAGCTTCACCCACCTGAGGGAGTGACTGGAAGACGAAGCCAATGGCCACCACCACCACCAGCACCACGAGAGATGCCAGAAACCCTGCAATCTAAACACACACACACACACAAACACATGCAAAGGGATGTGTCACCTTCATCGTCTCTTATTCTAATTATGGTTTTACAACTATTTAACTCTGTTAGATATTGTAATCACTCCTGAAGTGGAGCTGCGTGTGTGCATGTGTGTTTCTATTACCTGTGTTTTTCCTCCTGTGCTCTCCTGCACCAGGCTCCTTGACATGGAACCAGTGACGGCAAAGGTTTGGAAAAAAGAGCCGATGAAGTTACACAGGCCAAGGGCAATGAGCTCCTGGAAGCAGAACAAGTAAATGTTTGGCTTCAACAGACTGAAATTCAAATGTGAACCTGTTCCGTAGCTCATTGGGCGCTGAAAATTACATTAAAAAAACAATAGGAAATGAACCCAATAATCTATAGTGTATGGATGAAAGGAGGCACATGCTGACATTGAAGGACCCTGAGAAAATTAAGACAAATTCAGTTACATCACTGAACACAGACTGGTCAGTAATGCTTCGCTGAAGTTACGGACTCCTCCTCCCAACACTCCAGTGTGCCAGACATCAGCTACCTTATGCAGTTCATGCCTCACAACTTTTTTTTGCTTGTCCTATTTCTGGTTTTGTCTTTTAACTTCTAGTCACTATTGCCCACTATGAGAAACTGAAATAGTCTTATCTATTTTGAGTTCTCAGTGCTATGAAGACACATTCAAATTTGTGGGGACACTAACCACAACCACCACAGATATCAGCTTTAACAACAAAAAAAAAGATCTTTGGCAAAAAAGTTACGTTCAACATTTACTAGCTAAAAACCTGCTTGTTGCATCAGTACATTGGCTGAAAGCTGATTTATAAATATGAATTAAAATGCTGTTTTTTTATTCAGCTGTGTAATCAATAATATAATTTAGAATAATTAGCTTGTACAATATTGAGTCATGTCATAAAACTAAAATTACCGCTTCACGGCTGTATGCCTCTGCCAACTAGTCAAATTCACGTGTATGGGACAGATATGAGGTCACTGACCTTGACCTTTGAATGAGTTCATCCTTGAGGCAAAGTGGACATTTGTACCAAATCTGAAGAAATTCCCTCAAGATGTTCCTGAGATAGCATGCTCACAAAAATGGGATGAATATGAGTCACAGTGACCTTTGACCACCAAAATCTAAACAGTTCATTTTTGAGTACAAGTGAAATGTTTGTGCCAAATCTGAAGAAATTATCTCAAGGTGTTCCTGAGATACTGTGTGCACAAGAATGGGCCAGCCGGACTGACTGACAGATGGGCAACCTGAAAACATAATGCCTCCGGCTGCGGCTAACACCAGCATGGAGGCATTAAAACTAGATTGTGTGTAGTAACTAACCACATGAGATTCCACTGTGACTGTTTTGGATGAAGGAATATGGGTACAAACACATTTTTAACATTTGCTATGTCTACACACATTTAAAACAAATACAAACTCATTCTGACCACCATGACTGTCACCAGCTGATGCCACTTACAGTAAATGCATGCAATCAATCCATGAAAGAGTTTATTGTGCCAGGATCTGTAGCTTCTCAAACATCAACACTCACCTGGTTGCCATCCACACTGTAGCCATATTTCAGGGCAAAGGTCTTGGCAAGTGACATGTCCATTGAGAATCCTACAACTGCTATAGCGAAGGAGTCTGTGACCAAACTGGGTAACAGAGAGAACTCTGGCACAGCAGGGGGGAGAAGCCTGACAAAAAAAAAAAACACTCTTGAAGTTCATCCATCCCAGGTAAGTAAGTAAATATCTTTTCAGTTATTATGGTTCCTATTTACAGCTTGACGTGGAGAACCACAACGTTAACACAATGGAAATATAAAACAAATTCTCCCAGTTGGAAAAATCCCATGACTGAAACACAGCTCTATAAATTCCATGGAATCCCAGAAATCCCCCCAGACAAAATGGGAACCTAACAACCTACCCTGTTGGTATCGTCCCAACCACACCCACTTCGTAGTCTTCTGATAAGGACAGGCCATAAGAGACACCAGTCGACACAATGACCACAATAATCTCTCCAGGAATGGGAACGGACAGTTTCTTTTTGAAACGTTCATTGAGAACTTTGACCAAGTACAGGAAGATGAGACACACGAGGCCCAGGATAAGACTGACAACATTGGTGCTGGCGATCTCACTGAATACTGCCTTGATGCTCTGGAGTATGAGAAATAAGTCAGTGTGATCATTTATGATACACTGTTATCCATTTGTATACCAAACATTCAACAAAACCTTGAAGAAAGAAGGCAGTAAAAACATAAAACTCCCAAAACACGCAGCTCCTGTTGCACTCTTCCCACTCACAAACCCCCCAGAAGCCATAAAACTCACATAAATAACTGAGAGAGGCCCACTAAAACGTTGTGTCTTCACTCCCAGCAGGTACTTCAGCTGGGAGGTGAAAACATGTATGGATGCTGCTGTAGTGAAGCCTCGCACCAGGGGCTCCGTGAGGTAGATCGCCACAAAGCCAAACCTGAGAAGTCCTAAGATAATCTGAAAGGCAGGGAAAAGAAATAAAGAAAGCGATGAGAAAGAGGTAAGGGGATAAGAACAAGCTATGTAGCTTTGTTTCAAATAAAAACATTAATGGTGTGGATACATCAACAGTGATTCGGACATCCTGCTACTTTGGGTAAACAGTGATTCTTGAGCGTGAGAAGATCTGAGCAAACTGTATCACTTTATTGTAATGTTCTAACCAAATAACAGACACTGTGGCGGTTGAAATTAGATAGACCAAATAAACAGCAGCCTGCAGCTGCTCACTGAGCGTGTTAGTTGTTTTGAGACTAACCTGAATGATTCCCACCAGGGTTGTGAGCACCACAGCCACCTGGACCCTCCTGGCATCACGAGCCTCCTCATCCAGGAAAGCAGACGCATTGGATCCATTTGCAGGATGGATGTAAAACATAGAGTCTGGGGCTTCCCTCACAGCAACGCCACCAATGATCAGACTTATAACTGCGAAGGTGCCTGCACATCACATTCACAGACAAAACATATTCTGTGATTTTGTCTGACTGTCTATGGCCATTTCATTTAAGTCTTTAAGTCCAGACTTGGTGCTGTCCAGTACAGTAAAATTATGTGTGCTATAGCTGAAATCATACACGTTAACTGTCTGTGTGGGAGTTTGTGACTGTACGGTATCCCTTCGAAAAGGCCATCTTGCCCAGCACTTGAACAGCTGCCCAGTTATTTCCTCCCACTCTCTGCCAAAAATGGAGGCATCGTCATTTCCACAACAACCTGCTAGCAGGTGAAATTTAGGGTGTTTGGTAGTGCAGCCAGCTTCTTCCTGTCATGTATTCATTGTTCTGCTCAGATTGCATCTTTTGTTTCAAAATGTCAAGCAGGTTCAGTTTGTTCTACCCATTTATCAGGTGGACTATGTTAGAGCTGACATTTGAGATGCCTTGGACCTTTTTCTAGGAAAGAAAGTAGTTCATGTCAGCTGAAGCCACAGAGAGCACATCAAAACATCTCCTACTCTAGAGCAGTATGTAACTTGTGAATCTTTAGAGGATTCATTAAGCTGACCCTCTGTGGGTGGGAGAGAGATGTTGGCTGTTGACACCTATCATACTGTTCTTGGCACTGACTGTGGCAAGCAACCTAGCTGTGTGAAAAGGCCAACTGGCTTGTCTTAATGACCATCATTAATTTAGACCAGGATAAACATTTAATTTAACGGGGATGACATTAGCACCATATTGAAAGTGGCAACACTTTTTTCACCATAAGCCATGTGGTGTCAGAGAATGAACAGCAGAATAAAAATAACACCAGGTACAGAAAATCAGAAATAGAAAACGCACCAGGTATGTCTGTGTTTGAGCCAGTGTTGTAGATGAGTCACTAAATCTCGATTACGAGTTGAGTCTCGAGGCCCCAGTGTTCGAGTCCAAGTCAAGTCTGAGTCACCAGAGAATAACCTGAGCTGAGTCTGACTCAATTCCAACCTGAGTTTGAGTTGAGGCCGAATCAAGTCCACATGGCCAGCATCTCAGTCATCAAGATCTACATTAAACAACTTCCAGGTCTGAGTTCAAGTCTAAGTCATCAGTGTTCAAGTCCAAGTCGAGTTACAAGTCCTGAAAATCTGGACTCAAGTCGGAGTCCTGGACTTGAATAATACAACACTGGTTTGAGAAACACATTGATCCCACCTCAAAGCTGTTGCTACTGCTGATAAGCATGCCTGGCAGGCACTGCTCTTGTTCTACTCTAACTGCTAAGAACAGAGCCTATTGCACTGAACACAGGGCATTTATGTGGGTTAAGAACTACACCATGAAGCCCATAATATCAAATTCACTGTTTTTATAAGATATATTTTACACAGTTATTATAAGATATATTTTACACAGTTACAGTAGGTCATTTGAATTTGTTAATACATATACATTTTGCCCTTCAATTAATAAGTCTTCTAACATAACACACCTAGATTATGGAGACACAGTCAATACCTATAAGATATACAGTATGTACGTAGATACAAAGCTGGGCTTTGCACTGGAACATTTTGCCAAATGTCTTTCATAAATTAGTTGTTCAGACACTCAGCCTCTTATCAGTGTTGACCTTCGCTGCAGTAAGGGTACAACAACACCAAACCAAACATTACCAACCTCTATCAAACATTATTAGGTCTGAATCATGGGCATATTTCACCTTAGTCCTACATCTGTCTAGGCTTGGTGTACAGTATAATGAAGTCTAGTAGAACAACTAGCTGGAGTACGTATATCTACAAAAACACTGGCTACCTTGAAGAAGAAGATAAGTCCATAACAACACCCATCACGAATTTAAATTAAAAAAAAATGGCACCAAACAGGAAAGCAGGAAATCAGAAGACTAGAAATACTTTTTGCCAAAGGTTGGGTCATCCCAAAATTCACTGTCATCCAGACATGTCTAACTGACAATTCACTAATGACAATCCCTCCTCTAAACAGCTATTGTCTAATCATGACTTAAGAACCATTAACCACAGTCAGCAGGTCTGCCAAGCTTTGGATTCTCCACCTTTTCAACAAATGTGCATGGGATTGTAGTAACAGTAGCGTCATTGTTTAGTGTTTCACAAACCCAAAAAGGAGCAAAATTGTGAGATATGAATTCAACGGTGTTTAACAGAGTTTTGATCTGTTCTGAGCTGCTATCTTTAGCACAACCAGCTAAATATCTTCCTTCCTATAGTAGTAAACGAGCAGGCCAACCACATAAATAACTTCATTATATAGCAGGGTTACAAGAGACATTAAAGATTACCACAAGCACTTCCACACTGTGGAGCTGGTCCTAGGCACTAACAGAGTTCAGGGTCACTGAAATTTAAAGAAGTTTTTATTTCTGCAGACCCAGCCTACTTTACCCAAGATAATGTTAAGTTTGCCAGACGCTTTGTCAAGGAGAGGATAACTGCAGAATAAAATTAGAGCTGTGATCGTCCCCTTGCTCCTTTACCTGTCTTGTGTTTTGTCTTTTCTGTAGCAGGTAGTAGGAGGTGGAGCAAATTGTACCAGTTAGAGGCACCTGGGACCAGTGCTTCCTGTCTATAAATCTCCACCTATCTTCAATTCTTTGCAGGAGCTGTTGTTTCCCTTGTGGGTTTCATTATGTTTGTTTTTTTCTTCATTAGTGTGGCAGTGACTGCAGTTAGAGCACCTTTTCTCTGGTGCACTTCCATGGTTTAGGATTAATCACCAGTTTCTGGCAGAGTTCCCTTGCCATCGGGCTATGTGCTTAAAATTCCCACCATCAGTACCTGCACCAAGTTTGGGGATGAGTCTATGTAGTAGGTTTTGGACAGGCAGATAATTAGAGGGATGCACTCTGCTCTTGTTTAGGCCACTGTTTGGTCTATCACCAAAGAAGTTATCACTGTTCTTTACATTGGTTATTTTGAGATTGGTGACAAACATCTAAAACAAAATGTGAAGGCAATTTTGAAAGCAAGTTTATTTAGTGGACCACTGTCTTCATTAGTTACAACCAACTTAACATTTGAACATCAGAAAAAATTGCTTACGTTGCAATTAGAGTATGATAAATTTGTACAAAAGGCTGAAAGGGACAAACCGGCTGTTGAAAAAAGTGTCAGCAGGACAAATTAGAGATTGAGCAGCATAAATATGAACTAATTAAAGAAGGTAAACTGTCTGCTTACGCTGTAGCTTCAAAGTCCATTTCTGGACAGTGTGTAACCACAACTGATGTGCTGGGTAATTTACATATATTTTCAGGGAAAGTCTTTCTTTTTATTGCTTGAATGTGTGGTGGTTGCGTGTAACTGGCACACATACTGATGCTTCAGTTAAAAGGCAGGGCTCAGGAAGCATTTGCATCATTGACTACTGCAGATAGTATTTATCTGTAAAGTCAGCTGTTCTGAAGGCGTATGAGTTGGTCCCAGAAGCCTAACGACAACAGGGGACAGCAGTCATTTGGAGTTTGACACACACATTTTTTTTTGGAGAGCTTAAAAACTGGAGTTTCAATGGGGACAGTAGTGGTGGTGCTGTGACACTGTTTTAGTCAGTTTGACAGAAACAGTCAATTTGGTAAGGGGGCCAATAATTAACATGATCTGGACAGAACCTGTAATTATTGTCATAAGAGTGGTCACTAGAAAGCAGATTGTTTGTCTGCTTAGGAATAAGCCAAAAAATGTGACAGGTAGTGAAATAAAAGGGGCTGGTTTAGCCACACCTGTGCATTAGGTTGACGGTGATGTTCCTGGCACTGAGATATAGATTAAAGACTCATGTTCAGCTGTCTGCAGTCCTATCCTCCCTTTATCACTACAGGTTTTTTTTATCTATGGTCAGTAATGATATGAAAGTGCCTACAAAGATCCTGAGGGACACAGGGGCATTTGATTCTTTTACTTGAGTGGGTATGTTGCCATTGTCTAAAGAATCTGAAACTGGAAGCTCTGTGCCTGTCCATGGAATGGGCTTAAAGGTTTTGCTTGTTCCATCACACAGAGTAATATTTGATCTCTTTTGGGGAGAGGCAACCCTGGCTGTGCGTCCAGCATTACTGATAGAAGGTGTCAGTTCTTCTTGGTAATAACGTGGCTGGTGCCCGCGTGTGGGCAAATGTACCTCTGCCATTGGTCGTGGCTTCTGTGCCATTGATTAGATCAGGGCCAGATGCCAATGAACATGGTTTTCATGAAACATTTGAGGCATGGGCTGTAATACACGCAATGATGCTTGCAAAAGAAGTTACTGACTGTGTGACTTTGTCAAATAAGAAAACTGACATTTTCACTACCGTTGTCTGACTTTCGCTTGTCAATATCCTGCAGTGATCTGGTGGCAGAGCAGCAGGCTGATCCATCTCTGAAGGAGCTTTTTGAGCAGGTGTGTCCAGCAAATGAGGTATAATACAGTAGTTGTGGTTACTTCCTGCAGGATTCACTCTTGGTGAGAAAGTGGGTGCAGCATACTGGCCCAGTATACTGCAGTATTACTGGGAGTTTTGGGGGCGATCCTGTTTTTCAAATAGTTTTACCAACTAAACTCCATCACTCAGTGTTTAAGAGTGATGCATGATGAGGCTGGTCATTCTGGTGTCAGAAAATCACGACCATGTTTTGAGGCATTTCTTTTGGCCTCGTATGAAGAAAGATGTCTCAATCTACATTAAAACCTGTCATACATGTCAACTGACTGATAAACCTAATCAGACTCTAAAATCTACATCACTGCCATTAGCACCATTCCTGCCATTAGCCAACCTTTTGTACATTTCGTAGTGGATTGTGTTGGGCTGTTGCCACGTTCCAAGTCAGTTGCAAGTTACCTGTTTACTGGGGTGTGCCAGAGTACTATCCTGTTGCGTATAAATTGCACACAATAACAACCAAGTCTGTGATCCGAGCATTTTCACAGTTTATGTTGATATTTGGTATTCCCATGGTTGTTCGGTGTAAAAATGTGCCAAATTTTGAACCATGCAAATCATCAGTGTGGAAACAGACGATTTGCTGTGGTGACCCCTAACAGGTTCAGCTAAAAGTGAAGAAGGAGGTGATGACTGAACCTCCGTATAACTTGTCTGAGAGTGAGGACTACTTGGATACACCAGATCAGACTTTGCTGTATGGTCGTTTAAAAAATTCTTAATCTTTGAACTGCTGTTACATCTGCCATTGTCACGTAATGCTGAAGTGGCATATTTAATTTAGTTTCCCTTGCTGTGTTTGTTGTTTGTTTGCTGACACACCAGACAGAACTCATTTCACTGAGCATGACATTGATGTTGTGGGTGCTAAACCATTAACACAGAGGTTTTACAGGGTGAATGCTGAAAAATACATTACATATGTTATTACATAAGTTTCCATAGAAACTGTAGTGGCACCTCTGATTTGCTGAGGGAATATGAGAAATTTGTTTGGTCATCTGTGTGTCAAACAGCTTTTGAACAAATTGAACCAATTATTCAAGTTTTATGTGGATGCCAGCCATGCTGGTGTTAGGGCTGTTCTTATGCAAGCATATGATTTGGGGATAGATTGTCAGCGTTAATTAAGTAATGTGCTAACGCAAAAATAACGCCTTATCTTGCCCAGCCCTAGTCTAGACATACATTATATGAAAGGCGATGGCAGACGCATTGTGTAGAGCTTCTCCATACTAGATCTGATTAACCTCTCTCTATTAACAGGTTATGATCCACAGGCTTTTAAACTTGCAGTAATTAAACCTCTACTCAAAAAGCCTACTCTTGACCCAGGTGTCCTAGCTAATTATAGACCAATATCCAATCTACCATTTATTTCCAAAATCCTTGAAAAAGCTGTTGCAAAGCAGTTATGTGACCACTTGCACAAGAATGATTTGTTTGAGAATTTTCAGTCAGGATTTAGAGTCCATCATAGTACAGAAACCGCATTGGTGAAAGTCACCAATGATCTTCTCCTAGCCTCGGATAAAGGACTTGTCTCCATACTTGTCCTCTTAGATCTCAGTGCTGCTTTTGACACCATTGATCACAGCATCTTACTGCAGAGACTTGAACATGTTATTGGAATTAGAGGAACTGCGCTAAATTGGTTCAAATCTTATTTATCAGGAAGATTTCAATTTGTTCATGTTAATGACGAATGTTCCACACAAACTGAAGTAAGTTCTGAGGGAGAAGGCCGCCCACCAAGAGCCGGGGTCTGTCGGAGGTTTCTTCCGTTAAAGGGAGTTTTTCCTTCCCACTGTCGCCAAGTGCTTGCTCAAAGGGGGATTTGTTGGGTTTTCCCTATGTAATAATATTGACAACAGTAAGGTCTAGACCTTACCTTGTAAAGTGTCCTGAGATGACTTTTGTTGTGATTTGGCGCTATACAAATAAAATTTGATTTGATTCTCATTTGTGACTGTTTAATACTGCTCAGATCTTGGGTTATTCTCTTAGCTCTTTTTCTCCCAGCTTAAATTCCTTCCTAGGTGCACCAGTTGCTGAGGCGAGGGTTTGTCACAAGGGATGCCGGATCCTAGAGGGTGACATAAGCAGCTTAACAACAAGGTTGTAATGTTCAAACTAGAAACAGTTGGGGAATATATAATTATGTGGTTTATTATTATTTGTATGTATTTTTGTGTGTTTTTTGTCGGGATTTCCCTTTGAGATCCTGTTCTTGTGAAGGGGGGTGTGATGGTCCACTGGCTCTGTTACCTGTCTTGTGTTTAGTCTTTTCTGCAGCAGGTTGTAGGAGGTGGGGGAAATAAGCCAGCTAAAGGCCCCTGGGACTAGTGCTTCCTGACTATAAATCTCCACCTATCTTCAATTCTTTGGGGGAGCTCTCTTCTCCGCAACACAGCTGTTTTGTTTTATCCATCCAACATTCACCACACTCTACTCTCCACTCCTCCATGCACACTTTGACTACTGACTATACTGATAGTCACACATCATGATCTTTTATTTTATTAATTTCATGTTTTGTTAAAATAAATTAGTTGCCTATTTGCTTTCATCCTGTGTCCTCCTATTGTTTTGTCATGGCTTGCAAACCGAGTCGTGACAAAGTAAATAAATAAAAGGATGAAGAACAGATCAACAGCGGCATTACATTAACCACACTGGCTTAGCTGCTCGTTAGGCGGTGAAGAAGAAATTTCAGTGCTTCATGGATATTTTAAGACAAGTGACGATGACAAAAGTAAAGCCAACTGTGAGCTCTGATTCTCTGCTCTGTCTCTGTGATAGGGAGTGAGGGGCGCCCACAGACACACAAACAAAGCGTAATTAATCCAACACCTGTTGAACAATACAACAAACTTGCAGAAATGCGAAGCCCTCACCTGTTGTATTTATAATGTTTATCACAATTTTCAAATTTGCAGTGCCTCCTGTTAAAATGTAATCATATTCAGAAGATAAAACACATGAAAATATAAACCATCTTTAAGATTTTTTTATGATCATAGTAATTTCTGTAATAAATACACTGCATTATTATTAAGTAGTTGTATTGAAATTGGTGAATACCCAAATGTAATTACTTGTAGTTGTACTTGGTCTGGAAAAAAGTGGGATGGGTGTATCCCTACTTATCAGTCTTTATGCAGATGGGTGGGGTTATCTTTACCAAAAATTATAGCAATTTAGCTTTAAGCAACCAGTAAAATGTATTACATTGGTGTTTTCCACCCTTTTTTCCAATATTTATACACCTGGTATAGGCTATAAAGAAGAATCCAGAGATGTATGGAATTTTATTGAGGTTGAATAGAAGATAAGCTTATTTGCAGATAATATTTGGCTTACTCTGAGAAACCAACAGAGAAATATCCCCAAAAAATATCCTCATGTCCCTCCTAAAACTGTTTACTTCCCTATAATCTCACCACAAATGCGGACTTGCAAATTACATTTAACAGGATGCCTCTTGCCAGACACATTCCTCATCCTATGAGTTTTTCGTGTAGAACACTGTGTGAAAATACAAACGAGTAGGTAAGCTAAACAGCCAAACTCTCATCATACTTGGTCTTCTATGAATCACCAGTTGGTGAGAATGCTGCGTTTCTGCCTTGGATATTTAGCTTCAGCCTAGGCCTCAGCACAGCATCATGTACTGTAGCCATCAGGTGTATTAATAAGAACCCTTTACGAGGACTACTAAAAATTTTAAGTTCTTAGTCAGCCACCGTTGTCACTGTAATATGTGCCATTCTAGAATGGAAAGCTTGACAGGCACAGCAACAATACCTAAGGAGGGCATTAGTGAACAATCAAATGCAAAATGCCTCAGCAAGACCTTGTGTCACATCTGACCTACTAAATGGCATATATTACCTTGCTAACAATTCACATGGAGGTAACAAAAACAAGCAGCTTTTAATTTCCTGGGATCTAGGTGTCTTTGCTGCCCTGTTGTTTCTGTTGAATTTCCATATTGGCACTAGCCATAGCTATTGGTACCAGCTACAGCTTGCAAGAGGAGATTTATGGGCCAAAATCAAAGCCTCCACAAGAAGTTTAAAGTTCATTTCTCACCTATTGATACATGTCTGGACGTGCCAAAGAAGGTGTAGAGCAGGACAGGGTAGAAAGAAGAGTACAGACCAAAGACCGGAGGCACAGCAGCCAGCATAGCATAAGCTAGACCTGTGGGCATGAGGAGAGGGAGAAATGTAAATAAACTGTACAATCTCGACAGCAGATTGACTGCATCACACCCTCAAAGCTACAAAGACAGCATGAAACCAAACACATCCCCTCCAGGGTTGACAGTAGGCCCCTCATACTATTAAACCTTTATGTTATTCCAGATAACTAGCAGAGCTCATGACTACTGTGCAACACAGTGGTCATGCTGCAGCTGCTGGGACTACAGAGCACTGACCTTGAGGGAGCTGCACAACTCCTGTGCTGAGACCTGAGACTACATCTGAAAACAGGTACTGCTTGACTGGATAGGATGGCAGCCATGTTAGAATAGGCAGAGTGCTCAGAACTGCTGCCTTGGCCCTCTTTGACGAACACCTGTGAAATGACACAAAAAGATGATGTCAAGGCATTTTTAATCACATAAAGTTGCTTCTGGGATCAGATTGTATCATTTTAGGGCTGCAGCTCCAGTCTTGGTCAGACCAAATTTGAGATGACACATAAACAACTCATCTGCTCGCTAATCACCTGTGTAGACATAAAGTTAGCACATCTTTATGGTTAAACACTGAAAAGACATACTACTACTACTGTATGTATAAAATGTATCAATCATATCAATGATGACAATGATACATGCAGCTTTTACTGCCTTTTACCGATTTACTGACCATAAAGAGAACTTTAAACCAGTAATATGCCACACATTCATTGTTAGTTGACAGCATCAGCACAATACTAAAAACAGGCATAACATTTATAGAGATTTGTGGACATACAGTATATTTAGTTCTACTTATAACAATTATAAAACCTGGTTGAAATTTATGTCGGGTTTCTTCACCTGTTTGAATATCTCATTTCTATGTAAATATTTCATAGTACCTCAAATACGAAGTGTTACTGGGTTTAAGTAAAAGTCTCATACCAGTGCAGAAGTACGGAGCTAGCCAGTCTTTTTTGGTGTTGCATTGGGAAGGGGAAGGTGACTCTGTTAAAACAGTGTCCTTCTGCTCTGTTTGTCCAAAATGACAGGGCACACTCTCAAATAAATGCAAACAATCTGCTCAGTTTAAAGGTGTTTCACTGTTCAAACACGCATAAAGGACAGGTGATCACAGGCACTCCAAAATATGTCGATAAAACATTATTGTTAAGGGTTTTCCATTCTGAAAACACGAAAACTTGCAGCAGGGAGGAGAAACCATTTCCATAAGTGATGAAATTAGATTAAAAATGTTCAAAAGTGCTGAAATGATTAGTTTAAAATATTATATAAATGCATAATTAAGCAACTACTTTAACAGTTATTAAGCAAAACTATCAAACATTAGTCAGTGCTTGTTTTTCAAATATAAGGTTTCTGTTTACCATTGTTAATTAAATATCACTGGACTGACAATGAGATAAAACAAGAGGTTTGATATGTTACACTGTGCTCTTAGAAAGTGCAATGGGGATTTTGACTTTTTCTGACATTTTGAGAATGAGAAGATTATTTGAGAGATTGAATGAAAATTGTCATCAGTTGCAGCTCTAACAATACCTTGCATACAAGTAGATACCAGCCACTTGCATTACATAAGCATGTTGTGAAGTTATAAATCAATTTGCCACACAGATTTCCAGTGACACTAAACACATTAAAGCTGCAAATCTTCACCTTTTAGACACCGGAACCAATAAATATATGCCAATAAGGTTTGGGGAATGTGTTGATCAACTAACCAATTAAACAATCTGTGTTTATCTGCATTACCTATCAACTGCCATAATCCCACATTTTATGCTGTCATCCATTTCAGTTGCTTACATACAGTATATAAAATATACCGGATTGATTCCTATAGGAATATTTCCCTTTTTATGTATGTGGATACACCTACACAGATTCTGAAAACACATTTATAGGACAAAATTAAAGGTTAAATTTCTCTGTTCAAACTTTACCGGAACTGGTGTGCCAGCTTCTGTCGGAGGGTAGTGGATTTCTCTTTGTGGCTGAGAAGATGCGAGCGGATAAAAGCTTCATCATAAACCGGACGCTGTATCCTGCACATCAGCTGTGAGGTGGTATCCACCCTGGCTGTCACTTCTTCTTGCTCCATAACAGAAACTGGAGGGCAGACTGTGTTAAGTCACAGTGTACGTCTCTCCAGTGCTGATTATCTACCCCACACTCTCCTCTCTGTCATTGGTCCTGCCAATATATCTTCATTCCTTTAACCCCTCCAACTGCCAGCACCTCCTTCTTCTGTTCAGAGAGCAAAAGCAGACAAGATAGATATCATTCCAACACTAGTTGGTTTGCTTTTTGGTTCACTACTTAGAAATAATAACAGTGGGAGTGATGATAACCAACCAATCATGCATGTTTGCATGTTTTTGTCTTGATAAGCCAGCCACCTTTGAGTTTATCAGATTTTTAGCAAATATTTAGTGTTTGGCAAACTAATGCAGCAACATGGGTTAGATTTCTCTCAAAAGCTCTGCAACCACATCCGTTCATTTTTCAATTTGTATAGAGCCATGAACATACAGTCATGGCCAAAAATATTGGCACCCCCACATTTCTGTCAGGTAACACACCACTTCTCCCAGAAAGTTGTTGCAATCACAAATTCTTTGGTATTCTCACGTTTATTTCTTTGTTTGAATTGGAACAACACAAGAAAGCAGAGAAAAAAGCCAAATCTGGGACATTCATTCATTCATTCATTTTCTACCACTTAGTCCCTGAACGGGGTCACGGGGGGGCCGGAGCCAATCCCGGCCGGCAATCGGGCAAAGGCGGGGTACACCCTGGACAGGTCGCCAATCCATTGCAGGGCTAACACATAGACAAGACTAGCTACAGCACCATGGGCTGTCAACCTCTTGACAGTGTTGCACACAGTAGACACAGGAACAGCCAGATCTCTGGAGATGGACTTGTAGCCTTGAGATTGTCCAGGCTTTTCCACTATTGTGGTTTTCACATCCTCAGACATTTCTTTGCTCTTCTTTCTTTTCTCCATGCTCAGTGTGGTCCACACACACAAAGGTTGAGTCAACCTTACTCCAGTTTAACTGGTTGTGTGATTTTTATATTACCAGTACCTGTTGTTTGCTACAGGTGAGTTTCATTACAAATTAAAGGAACTATCTCTGATGATTTTGAAAAGGTGTCAAACTTTGTCCAGTCCATTTTGGGAGTTCTGTGTGGAATGTATCAGATTTGGCTGTTTTGTGTTTTTCCAAATCAAACAAAAGAAATAAACAAACCATAACCAACCTAAACATAAGCAACCAAAGAATTTGAGATTGCAACAATTTTCTCTGAGAAGTGGTGTGTTATCTGACAGAAATGCTGGTGTGCCAATATCTTTGGCCATGACTGTGTGCGCAAATCAACATTTTAACAATGTAGCCTTAATAAGATCCACCTGTCTTGTTTGTTTTGTACTTCATGTGTACAGTCTCCCATGCAGTCTCCACTACAAAAGGTTGCCTTAATAGAGACAAAGTTGTACACAAGAGCAAATAATATCATTATGATGATAATAGTCACTGTGTTTAAATGGGATTATACAGTGTGTATGAACGACTTTAAAACAAATTTCCTGATTTAATCCGCTTTTATTCAACAGGAACATCTTGCATTCACACACAATTTGTGTATCCATTTTATTTAGGTTTAAGATACATATATTATGCCAAATATTTTTCCATGAATCTCTTTTCAAATGTGTTTTGTATATGACATTTAGTTGTGTTATTTCCATGAAATATAACGTTATTTGACTGATACAGTAATGCCGCAATTAATGTTGTAATGTTACATTGTATGCGGTTCTCAAAATGAGACAAATGCACTTTACCAAGCCTTTAAGCATTTTTAAACATTCTGTGATTATACAATGTAGCGGCTTGATTTATTGCAACGTCATACACCTGACTCATCACTTTGCCCAAGTCAGTCAACTCTGACGCGCTAACCTCTTCCCGTTTCGTCTCATTTTCGATAGCTAGCTAGCACGAGGTGGAGAAAAGACAACCAGTGAATCCAGAAATAGATGTGAGACAAAAAAATAATAGTTTGGGTTATACTCATGCCCACTTATAGAATCGTTGCTGTGACAAGAAGAGCCCTAAGCTCTCCCCGGTTCGGGATTTAAGATAAGTTAATACAAAGATGCTACTCTACCTCCGTCCACTTCCAGCTCCTGTAAGGATGCTGCCGGCTGAAAGCGAATATGACTTTATGAACGAACCTCTTGGGTTGAATTTTAACAGGGGGTAATGTCCTTAAAGGACAGCGGACAACCACAACCTCTTCTGCTTCACCAAAGATAGTCTATGTGGCAAAGAAGAATAACTCTTGTGAAATTCTCTTCTATTTTCCGGTCTGGCGTTGATCCTCACGCATGCGCCGTCCTCTTGCAGTCAGGCCTGTTTGTAGTCCTAGAATCTGGACGTGTTCTTCTCCATACCAGATTTCCAATACTTTGTTGACACGTGTTTCAGTTTAACATATTCACAATTAATTAACTAACTATTAATTTGGTAGATGTCGGCTTTTTAAAGGCAGACCTATGTTTTTTGTGGGTATAGTTTATGCTAAAATGAGGATAAAATATGTGTTGTGTTGAGATTGTCTTTTTAGACAAGCAGAGATCTTTTTTTTTACAGGTAGTCTACAAAAAGACGTCACAATTTAAAATGTATGGATACTTAGAAGACAGGCTGATGCACTAGTTCCTTTGCATTGTGACATTCATGTTAACCATAAGTATGACTTGCTGTTCTTGGATGAAAACTGCACCTGAAAATCAGTGTTTTGTTTACACTGTGATAGACAAAGGGAGGGCTGTTGGCAGGATTCTAGAAATGCAGAGACCATGAGTCCAAGTCACCCCAGGCCCAGCCCCTCTAATTCTATAACTTGGATGTCATTTATAATTATATTATTGATTTATTATGATTAATCATACTCTTTAATAATGATTATATTATTGAATGGGGGCAACTGTGGTTCAGTGGGTAGAGCAGTTGTCTCCCAACTGGAGAGTCGGAGGTTTGAATCTTGGTGCCCACAGTTCACGTGTCAAAGTGTCTTTGGGTAAGACACTGAACCCCCAAGTTGCCCCTGATGGTTAGAACCATCGACTGAGGTGGCACCACAGATGGCTGACTTGGTTCTGTACCAGAAACAAATTCCTTGTGTGTAACATACTTGACCAAGTAAAGGTGATAATCCTGATTATTGTATTTTCAATAATTTATTTTCTCAACATTAAATATATAAAAGCTGTTTCAAATTCTTTTTGATGCTCATCTGAGTAAAAGTCTGATAGGAAAAAAATTATCAGTTCCTTATATGACTGGATAACAAATAACAAATGCATTATGTCCCAAGCAAAATGTGCCCATAATAAAAAGTGTTTATTTACAGTGACGTGCGCTGAGGTTGACAGCTGGTGAGGCACTAACTCTTTTACAGTCAGATTTACAAAAACAAATAGTCTGTTAACAGACAATGCGTTATGTTTTATATCTCATATCAGCATTCTTCACACAAACGTGACCCATATTTAATTTGAGGTTACAATTTATTCCAGTTGAGCTTATTTCTACTACTAGCGCCCTCTGCCTTGAGGCAGGCGTACTGTTTGCCTCACCGAGTAACTTTTTTACTGGGTTTTATGGTTAATCTGCAGCCTAAACACGTTACAGAACTACATTGTATACATTATCCAGATTATGGCAAGGCAGCGCATATAATCAGAGTGTTTGAAAGCATTTTATTTGCGATATATAGAGGGACAGCGACACACTATTTGCATCGCATACAGTTTGTGAGGATTACACGATCCACCGAGAGGCACAGCAAAGTGCTGCCTCATCGC